TTCAAAATTTGGCCCAAACCTTCTCTCTTCATTTTTTTTTTTTTTTTTTTTTGAAAAGTAACGTTTATAAAATTGATCTAACCAATCCGATTCGAAATACCTACCCCCTTGTCATTTTATCATAGATATGATTTTTTTTTCTTCCTTCCAATAGTAACTTTTTCAAAGCTTTGATTAGTTGAGATTGACTAATAGTATTTATCCTCAACCTCCCTTAAGCTTCTAATTTAAATTAGTGACACCGTATAAGTATAAATAGCATCCTTAATGTCACCTCACATTTCAAAATTTGTTCCAAACAAGAGTAAAAATGAAAAGTAAGGATAAAATTACAAGTTTATTATGAATTATAGTTAATTATGACTTATTGTTGAGTTGCTATACCATTTGATTATTTTTAATCACAGATAAGTTTTTAACATTTGATTAAAATTCTCAAAAGATTTATTCTTTCCTTTTCTTTTTTCCTATTCTTTTAATTTAATAATAATTCTTAACTTAATTTGCTTGAGCATTAGTTTATTACCTTGTGTTTTTTAACTATCATTTCAATCGCATAAGGTAAATCCAACGGCATATAAATATGGTCTTGACGAAGTTAATATCATATATCTTTGCTAGAGATTTCCTAATATATATATATATATATGACAAGGGTATGTCCTGAGCTGTACTCTTCAAATAAGACTAAGTACAATAATAAAACCAAAGAAAATAATGAAAGAAAATAATACAATTGCGTAAAATACAATAATGAAAGAAAGAGCATGAATTGTATGCCTGAATAAAGAAAGAGAAGAACTAATCATTAAAGAAACAATAGTATAGCAAACAACAAGCATCATACATTTTGATGCTTTGTGGCAATAAGTCCCACCAAGAAAAGCATGTGGCCAATTATAGCAAGCTTATTTACAACCATATTCTCCTCAAAATGAATATGAGTACAACAANAAACTACCTAGAGGTAATTGATGGCTACACTTTTTCAAAGCTTTGATTAGTTGAGATTGATTAATAGTATTTATCCTCAACCTCCCCTAAGCTTTGGATTTAAATTAGTGACACCGTATAAGTATAAATAGCATCCCTAACGTCACCTCACATTTCAAAATTTGTTCCAAACAAGAGTGAAAATGAAAAGTAAGATAAAATTACGAGTTTACTATGAATTATAATTAATTATAACTTATCGTTGAGTTGCTATACCATTTGATTATTTTTAATCACAGATAAGATTTTAACATTTGATTAAAATTCTCAAAAATTTATTCTTTCCTTTTTCATATTCTTTTAATTTAATAATAATTCTTAACTTAATTTGCTTTAGCATTAGTTTATTACCTTGTGTTTTTTAACTATCATTTTAATCGCATAAGGTAAATCCAACGGGATATAAATATGGTCTTAACTAGAGGTGGAACAAATGGGCCGGGTTAGGCGGGTCAACCCTAACCCGGCCTGCAATGAAGAGTGTTCAAACCGGACTGCCAATATGGCGGGCCAGGTTGAACCCAACTCGCTAGCAACCCCCGGGCGAGCCAGGTTGCTATATGGCAACCCGCCAACCCAACGGGTTGCTATTTGTTTGCAATACGGGTTGGCCTAAAAAAAAATTTTTAAAATAAAAAATTAATTATTTTTTTTCAAATTTCCCCCATTTTTTTAATTCTTTTAATTAAACTATTATGATTGAACTCTTACAAATAATTTTACACAATAATATTAAAATATACTTTTAAATCATAAATATTAAAATGTATAAAACTTCGTAATATTTGACACATTGTTATTATTATTTTTTATGGTACGTAAAATATAAAAAAAAAAAAAAATACTAAAGTCTTATTCTCAAATTTCCATGTCTTGTATAAAATATAATTCATTCTTATGCTAAAGTTTCATCAATTGAATAAATAAATCTAATTTTTCTTATATTACAATTTTATTGTATTGAAATTGAATTAATATTTGAAATGTTAATAAAAAAAATTAATTTAATTGAATTATTGATATTTGAAAAGTTAACTAAAAATAATTACATTTATTCATTTATAAATCGTTAATTATTTATTTGAAAAGTTAACTAAATAAAACAAAAAAAAAATCAAAAAAGGGGGTTAACCCAGCCCGACCTGTAGCCTAACCCGGCGGGTTAGGGTTGGCGGGCCGGGCTGGGCCAGCCATTCCCCCAAAAATGGCGGGCCTAACCCGGCCTACCTTTGTTAGCGAGCGGGTTAGGACCAACCCGCCAAAAGCAGTAACCCACCGCGGGCTGGGCCGGGTCTGGTCAGGCCGGGCCAGGCGGGTTACTTTTCCAACTCTAGTCTTAACAAAGTTAATATCAGATATCCTTACTAGAGATTTACTAATATATATATATATATATATATATATAGACAAGGGTACGTACTGAACCATACTCTTCAAATAAGACTAAATATAATAATAAAGAAAAAAAATGAAAGAAAATAATGCGACTGTATAAAATACAATAATGAAAGAAAGAGCATGAATTGTATGCCTCAATAAAGAAAGAGAAGAACTAATAATTAAAGAAACAATAGTATAGCAAACAACCATATTCTCCTCAAAATGAATATGAGTACAACAAATCATAAAGTGGAGAGATGACTAATAATTCAACCATCGAGCATGCAAAAAACAAAAATTTCCCAACACAAGCAACACAAAAAACACAATACACCCATAGCAAAAAAAAAAAAAATTTATAAAATGATAAACAAACTCTTATATAAGAAGGAAACCCTAATCCAATAGACTTAAAAGAACAAATAATAAATTAATAAAATAACCTAGCTTAGTTTAAAGTCTGACATATGTTTTCAAGGCCTGTTCCACATTAAAATTCAAAAAGTTATGCGGACTGCGCTGGTTTAATAGATTTATGTCGTGGGCATATGTTTATTTAGCTCTGGTTTAATAGATTTATGTGTTACGGATGAAGTTGAATTTAGTTTTTAAGGGCAACCTTGAAAATAGTGAACCTTATTCTCTTTATTAAGAAAGAAAACATTAAAAAAAAATAAAACTTAAATATTGATATATACTTAAGAATTTTTTTTTCTATTAAAGAAAAGAAAACATGAAATCTTCTTAAAAGACCAAAGTGAAAATATGATGAAAGAATTTAGCTAGGGTAGGGATGCATACTTAAGGAACTCTTTTCTTAATTCTGTTAGATCTTATGATAGAAAACAAAATCTTCCACATGAAATCATCAGAATAAGATAAGTGGTGTATAACATCAGTGGATTGAATTAATACCGTAAATTTAAGAGTTTAAAATTAAAAATGTATTATTTTCCAAAACTACACTTGCACAGTGTGAATCCTTAACTTTATATTCTAACTGATATGGTTGCTTATATGCCGTACCCACTCTGATTATATGGTCACTCACTTATTCCATTATCTTATAATCATGTGATAGTAATACATAAACAACCACATTAGTTGGTCCTATATAACATTATTGATTTTCTATTAAAACAAATAGAAATCGTGTTATGAGAGATCTTTGTAATGGTTGGGTGACGTGATTGTACGAAACAAAGGGCTCGACTACGACCTCCAATCACGCAGTAAGTATGTTTTATGCACTGCTTAATGGATTTTAGTGAGGGCATGACTTACAAATCATTTATTAAGTTATAGAAGACAAATCACTTGCTGGTATTATCTTTTCCCCCTTACTATTTAAGCATCTCTCCTTAACAGGAAAGGGGTTTGTGGCTGAAACACAGTGCAACTTTCTAACAAATGAATTTTTTAATATGATCGTTTTATCTTTTGAATGGAGCTTCTCTTAGAGAAAAGATGTGACTCCTTTATGATCATCACTCTTATAATATTTATCAGTACGTATGTTTTTAGTTGCATTGATTTAATAGATTTAGGTAGTGGGTACGTATGTTTATTAGCAACAGAGCTTGATTCAATAATTGAGAAAGATAAAGTCACGGGGTTCAAATAACCGTTATCTAGAACTTCATTTAGTGGCCGACCAACGATTTTGTGGGCTACTTGGAGATTTGGAGTGCAATCTAAAAATGATCAATAAAAGCACGGTCTGTCTGGAGTTCGATAATAGTATGTTGAGCTGCAGATTATAAAATGAAAATTTTAATATGAACGCCTCAATGTAGTTGGGAAGTATTCAAATTGTTAACTGTTTGTTTTTACCCCCGCTGAAGAATAGTACAGTTGATACTCTATTTTTAGTTGGCTAACACTTTTTTTTTTTAACTTCTGCTTAAATATTTGTTGTCAGGAAAGTCTTTCATGAATTTTGTTGGAATTATAACATGTCAATGAGAATATGAAATGCCCTCACTTTTTCAATGATATATTGTATGGCAATATGAAGTATAGAAGTATTTTTCTTAAAGTTGAGATAGTCGAGTGGACTTTTCTCAAAATTCAAAGAACAACATCCACATCTCTTATTTGAGAAAATATCTTACGTGCAACGAATACATATACATTAGCTAATGAGAACGCGAACAACGTCATGAACGGTATTATGGCACATCTTCATTTACATATCATATATGCATCCATTGCACCAAATACTTTATCCTCTTTACTGCCCTCTTCTCAAAATTCAAAAGAACAATTTTTTGAGAAAAAAAAAAAAAAAAATCTATGCATAAAGATGCATCAACTAATGAGAAAACATGTATATATATTATACCAATTACTTTGTCTTCTTGCACTCTTTTCAAAATTTAAAAGAACAACATTTTTATGTCTTGTTTGAGGAAAAACTTTCATACAACATCTGTCATATACGATAATTGATAAGGACGCATTTATGTCATGTAGTGCAAATAATATGACGTGTTTTTCGTTTACCTAATATTATATGCATGATTGTACCAAATATTTTGTCCTCTTTTTTCCCTCTTCTAGAATAATGAACAATTTGGTTACTCTAGAAGGGAACCTAACCCTTAAAAATGCAAGTACAAAAGGCCACTCACTCATCCGTTTATAAGAGAAGCCATTGCCAAGGGCAAGTGAAATCCCTTTGTAATTCTACGTAGGTGAAACATGAATAATCTGCCCAGTGGACAAGCTGCCGAAGCCAAACCATCCGAGGCAGGCGCCAGACGAGATGAACGGCATGAAAATCAGCCCCCAACGATTCCTGGTAATCAGAACTCGCCGTCTGCTTCAACATCACCCGCGACTATTATAGCTAGGACTCTAGGGGCGGGGGCTGTTGTCGCAGGGTAGGAACCATCCAGAGCAGGCGCTAGAGGAGGTGCAGTACATCTTGGTGATTAGAACCTGTCCGCGACTATTATAGCTAGGACTCCGGGCCCGGGGGTGTTATCGCAGGGCAGGAACCATCCGGAGCAGGCGCCAGTGGAGNCATCCATTGCACCAAATACTTTGTCCTCTTTACTGCCCTCTTCTCAAAATTCAAAAGAACAATTTTTTGAGAAAAAAAATTTCTATGCATAAAGATGCATCAACTAATGAGAAAACATGTATATCTATTATACCAATTACTTTGTCTTGTTGCACTCTTTTCAAAATTTAAAAGAACAACATTTTTATGCCTTGTTTGAGGAAAAACTTTCATACAACATCTGTCATATACGACAATTGATAAGGACGCATTTATGTCATGTAGTGCAAATAATATGACGTGTTTTTCGTTTACCTATTTTATATATATATATATATATATATATATATGCATGATTGTACCAAATATTTTGTCCTCTTGTTTCCCTCTTATAGAATAATGAACAATTTGGTTATTCTAGAGGGGAACCTAACCCTTAAAAATGCAAGTATAAAAGGCCACTCACTCATCCGTTCAGAGGAGAAGCCATTGCCAAGGGCAAGTGAAATCCCTTTGTAATTCTACAGGTGAAATATGAATAATCTGCCCAGTGGACAAGCTGCCGAAGCCAAACCATCCGAGGCAGGCGCCAGACGAGATGAACGGCATGAAAATCAGCCCCCAACGATTCCTGGTAATCAGAACTCGCCGTCTGCTTCAACACCGGACGTAGGCGCCAGAGGAGGTGCAGGACATCTTGGTGATCAGAACCCGTCCGCGACTATTATAGCTAGGACTCCGGGCCCGGGGGCTGTTTTCGCAGGGCAGGAACCATTTGGAGCGGGCGCCAGAGGAGGTGCAGGACATCTTGTTGATCAGAACCCGTCTGCGACTATTATAGCTAGGACTCCGGGCCCGAGGGCGGTTTTCGTAGGGCAGGAACCATCCGGAGTAGGCGCCAGAGGAGGTGCAGGACATCTTGGTGATCAGAACCCGTCCGTGACTATTATAGCTAGGACTCCAGGCCCGAGGGCTGTTTTCGCAGGGCAAGAACCATCCGGAGCAGGCGCCAGAGGAGGTGCAAGACATCTTGGTGATCAGAACCTGTCCGCAACTATTATAGCTAGGACTCCGGGCCCGGAGGCTGTTTTCGCAGGGCAGGAACCATCTGGAGCAGGCGTCAGAGGAGGTGTAAGACATCTTGGTGATCAGAACCCGTCTGCGACTATTATAGCTAGGACTCCGAGCCCGAGGCCTGTTTTCGCAGGGCAGGAACCATCCGAAGCAGGCGCCAGAGGAGGTGCAGGACATCTTGGTGATCAGAACCCATCTGCAACTATTATAGCTAGGACTCCGGGCCCAGGGGCTATTTTCACAGGGCAAGAACCATCCAGAGTAAGGGCTAGTGGAGGTGCAAGACATCCTGGTAATCAGAACCCGCCGTCTGCTTAAAAAAAAAATCCACAATTAAATGTAAGAAATAGCGACTATTGGAGATTCAATAATGAGCATGCCTTCTCCTCAGGATATCTTTCCTCCCAGGAAGAAGTAGTACCCTAGTGATCGTTCGGGTTAGTGACCCGAACACCATCAAGGTGCTGTTGTATGCGAATTTACTATATTTTTAAGTTGGTCATTTTTATTATTTACTTGTTGTAAGTCCGTGGGGATTTCTTAACTTCCATTAAGTCTTGTTCGAGGCCATGGATCCTCTTGGTTCATATATATATATATATATAGAGAGAGAGAGAGAGAGAGAGAGAGAGAGAGAGAGAGAGAGAGAGAGAGAGCTCTACCACCTCTGGTTGAAGATGGCGCTTCACCAAGAAGCTATGGTTCTCATTATGTTTCGTTGTTTGTTGATTATGTTAGCTGCAATGCATGTGTCCCAAAATTTTGCATTTTTTCAGTTATTGTTCTCTAATGACCATGGAGATAGAAAAGTGTATGGCTCATCTATAAATATTTTCATAAAAATTACACCAAAAGACTCTCAAACTTCACGCTTACACACACATACACGTATATATATAGGGATTGGATGTTTTAACTTATATTTTGACTTAAGCTGAGAGACATAAATTCTTGATCATGTATATTTTGTATTCCAATGGATGTGAAAAAGAATTTAAAGGTAGAAATTTGAAAAATAGATATCCACAAAACATATTGAGTGTGTTTGTTTCTCAACCTCCATTCGATAAACCTCTGTTTGGTAAGATATAACAAGTATATGGAATAACAAGTATAGTGCATTTTTTTTTTATATATGGTACTTTAAAAAAAAAAAAAAATTGAATTATGTATCAATGTTAAATGTTAAGATAAAAATAAAGAAAGACTTTTTTAAATTATAGGAAAGAATTTGTACCTAAGCAAAGTTTTCAATTGATCTGATTTGATTTGATGACATCATTTTAAAGCACATGGTGTACTATATCCCAATGTGGTTATAAGTTTCATATTATAATTTTTTAAGTTTTGTTTTATTAATACAGCTTAATGAGACTAAGTTAGAGGTCTGATATGTTTCAATTAGGTCGAGGCCAAAGGTAGAAATTGTAACATGCCGGCCTTTAACTAATTAAATATTCCAACCGGCGAGTTGTATTGACAAAATTCCTGAGCGTGAGGACGAGACAGATAATATAACTAGGTTAGGCGAAATTTTATTGCATTGTTCCCATGTGGATAGCTACATTTTCAAACCTTTAATTAGATTATTGATTAAATGGTTAATATCCTCTACCTCCCCCAGGCTTTGGATTAAAATTAATGACACCCCAAAAGTATAAAATAGCATCTCACATATCTCTTCATATTTAAAAAAAATTACACCAAAAAAAATTCTATGGAATTCAGTGGTCTAATAGATTTATGTTGTGGGCATGTTTAATTAGCTCTTGTTAACTATATTTACATTGCGTAGGGACGGAATATAATTTTATTTAGTAGGAGTGACCTTGAACAATACTAAAACTTTATATTCTCTTATTAAAGATAAGTAACCATAATTATAAAAATACTAACACATGTAATTCTTCTAAAAATACAAAAGTTGAAAGTAAGAAAGATATTAAGGGATGTATATAGCAAGCTCCTAATTTTGCTAGAAAACAAATCTTCCTCTCAGGGTATCATAAAAAATACATATGAAAATTTTAGAGTTTACAATTAAAATGTATATATTATTTTAAGTTACTTGATTAAGCAAGCCTTAGAGTTAATACGAATAAAATAAAAATTGTTTTATGGGTGATCTTGTAAATGCTTGGGTGCACAGTGATAGGCAGCAAAACCAAAGGGGTTCAAAAAATTAATCCCCAATTACGTAGTGGGATTAACAACTCCACCAAACTCCACTTCCATGCCATGCATGCAGTGGCTTCTGTTAAGAAATATGGGTTATTTTGTTTTATTGTTTATTAAGGGTAGATCTGTCTTTTCATTATTTCCTTTGTTTAGCCTATATATATCTTTGTATTTAGGTTAAATCATACTTTTTGTATTCAATTAAATTGTGCAGTATCAATGAAACCCTAGCCTCCTCTTTTTTATTATTATTTCTTTGGATTGTTTAACAGCTTCGTCAATCTAATGTAGCCAATTTGATTAGAAATAGCTATCCGCTTGTCATTTTATCATAGACATGATTTTTTTCTTCCTTATATCCTTGTTCCGTTAAGATTTCTTTTATAAATTAAAAATAAACAAAGATGAAAAATTATGACTTTTTTAAATTATAGGAGAAAAAACATTGTACCTAAGCAAAGTTGTTAATGCAATTTTATTTGATTTGATAACATCATTTTAAAGCACGGGGTGTACCATATTCCAATGTGGTTATTGGTCACGACCACTCAAAATGGAACTAAATTTATTTTAGGTTGGATCAAAATAATACAACATTGTGCATATATATTTTAAAGCATGGGGTAACACCAACTTCACTTGCATGGTCATGCATTGTCTTAGTCGTAGTAAACATTTAATAGATTTATGTAGTGGACATGTTTATTTAGATCTTTATATCTATCTTTATTCCAATTTTTTTTTTTTTTTTTCCCTCTTACTTTAGGATCGCATTTAACAGGAAATGGGCTTGTTGAGTGAGAACATAGTGCAACTCTCAAACCCTAAACACAACTTTTTTTCATTACTTTAATTCTATATCGTAATTCTATTTCCATAATACAACAGTTTCTCTTAAAATTATTATTATGATTTAAATAATTATTCATTAACAGTTATCATTCATCCATCATAAATTTTATAATATTTAGACTAGCCTCTTTGCCTTCGTCACTCATTACAAGACACATTTAGACTAGGACACTTATTTTTAAAGGCATTATGTGAATCATTTTGTTTTTTTATTAGAATCAAATAAGTGGTTACATTTTCAATTTTTTTTTTTAATGTTTTAATGTTGAAAGTAGCATCTATAAAATTGATCTAGCCAATCTGATTTGAAATACCTACCCCCTTGTCATTTTATCATAGATATGAATTTTTTTTTTTCTTCCTTCTGATAAATATCCTTTTTTTGTCAAGATTTCTTTTATAAAAAATAATAAAGAAAGACGAAAAATATGACTTTTTTAAATTATTGGAGAAAAAACATTGTACCTAAGCAAAGCTGTTAATAAAATTTTATTCGATTCGGTAATGTCATTTTAAACCATGGGGTGTACCATATTCCAATGTGGATATTGGTCTCAGCCACTCAAAGTGGAACTAAATTTATTTTGGGTTGGGTCAAGATAATCACAAATTTATTATGAATCTATAGTTCATTATGACTTATTGTTCATTTGCTATAACATTTGATTATTTTTTAATCACAAACCATTTGCATCTTTGAGTTGGCATATTATAATTTATTACCTTTTTTTTTTTTCCTTTCATTTCTATTTTTAAAATGTTTTGCTGATATGGTAGTACCACGTTGATTATAAGTAAATTACTCTCTTATCCCATTATCTAATAATTAATGCGGTACCAATACATAAACAAAATTGTTGATTATTTTCTATTACTTGATTAGGCAAGCCTTTGAGTTAAAACAAATAGAAGTTGTGTTATGAGAGATCTTGTAAATGGTTGGGTGGACAGTGATATGTAGCAAAACTAAAGGGGCTCGACAACGACCTCCAATCACGTAGTGGGGTTAACAACTCCACCAACTCCACTTGCATGGCCATGCATTGTCTTCGTCGTCTTTGATGTAGTAAGAACGTTTATTTAGGCACTAGCTTAATATACTTAGAGAAAAGTTGTGACTTCTTTATGATCACTTAAAGTTTTAATCACTTTATGAAGTTGATTAAACATAAGCGAAATGGGTTAACATATTCATTTATGCGTTTTGTGTTGGCTTATTTAACATCAATATAAATAATAAAAAAAAAAAAAAAAAAAAAACAACAAGACATTTTTACATAGTTCGGCAACCTGCCTATATCCATAAAACCACGTCTAGATGAAGCTAATCTATTATAGTAGATATTTATAGTTCGATTACAAAGTCAAAGTTAAACATCAATTGCAAAAAACACTCCCTATTATGACAACGCTTCAAATTTTATATTTTGATCGTACTTCGAACTACCAAGCTAGCTTCACTCCACAAGACCATCTGGTCACCCTTGAGCCCTTCTCAAGGTTCAACATCAAAGAGGCACTTAAGTTGTTAAAATATTTTTTTTAATTTATATTTTTTAAAGATGTATGCTTTTGAGTATAAGTATGATTTCCTTTTATTTATTTGAATATTTTAAATAATCTTCTTGGTTTCCTTAAACAGAAAACAAAATTAACAATTTGTTTATTGTAACGGGCATTAAAATAGGAGATCATAATTGACAATGTGAAACTATAAATATTTTTAATTTTATATAATAAAAGTTTAGTTAGAAATTAAAAGGTTTAAATTAGCATTAAATTTAATTGATTTTAAAAATAATCTAATTTGGACCACAATGACTGGCACTAATTACTTCTGTGCTGGCTCAAGGGCTAGGCAACGAAGGCCTTAGGCCTCCCCTAAAGTCAAGGCCTCATAAAAAAAAATACATGTGTTCACAAATTTTTTTATATTTAATCTATTTTCTTTCTTGAATTAAGAAAAAATGTAATGTACTTAATTTTTTTTAAATACGACCGACTTACTGTTTTTTTTTTTTTTCTTATTATATATTATTAATGGTCAAATTTCTTTATTTATGTTTTTCCTTTTATAATAAATACAGTATTATCACTTAAAGATTATTTTCAAATTAAATGTTAATTAAATTTTCTTTAAACTCTTTCTAAGAGTAGAATTGTGACTTTCATTCTCTTCTATGAAGATCAATAGAAGGAAAAAAAATCACATTTTCTTTTTCCTTTTTTTTTCTTCATAATATCCTTTAAATACTATAGTCATTCTCTAATACTAATATTAAAAATTTCATGACATCCATATATACTTAATAATTTTCATACATATACATATTAGTATCAAAGCCTAAAAATATTTTATATATAACAAACTTATATATATCTATTTGCCTATAGTTTTAATCAAATTTTATAGGATATTGTTTTCTTATAAATAATAAAGTCCCGGTACATATTGTTTTTTAATATTTTTTATTTTTGTATAAATGTTAAATGTTAAAGTGCGGCAATGTCATTTTCTTGCTCTATTATTTTCAAGGCACTATGTGAATCATTTTGATTTTAATTAGAATTAAATCAAGTGGTTAAATTTTCAATAAATTTTTTTCTTATGACTTAATGTTAAAAGTACTGTTTGTGAAATTGATCCAGTCAATCTGACTCAAAATACCTACCCCCTTGTCATTTTATCATAGTGCTTATAAAAAGTATGATATTTTTTT